ATTCGACTTTCGGGCAAGGGCAGCAAAAGCACGTATGCTGCTTCGACTTTCGGGCAAGGGCAGCAAAAGCACGTATGCTGCTTCGACTTTCGGGCAACGGCAGCAAAAGCACGTATGCTGCTTCGACTTTCGGGCAGAAGCAGCAAAATCACGTATGCTGCTTCGACTTTCGGGCAAGAGCAGCAAAAATCACGTCTGCTGCTTTCACTGTCGGGCAAGGGCAGCAAAAGCACGTATGCTGCTTCGACTTTCGGGCAACGGCAGCAAAAGCACGTCTGCTGCTTCGACTTTCGGGCAAAAGCAGCAAAATCACGTATGCTGCTTCGACTTTCGGGCAAGAGCAGCAAAAATCACGTCTGCTGCTTTCACTGTCGGGCAAGGGCAGCAAAATCACGTCTGCTGCTTTCATTTTCGGGCAATCTGTCAGGTTTCAGAGGACGTCTGATATTTTGATTTTGGAGTGTCTCGTGCAAATGGAAGCGAGAAAGCTGCTCTTTTCCGAATTGAGCAGGTGCGGTTTCCGTCCTCCAATTGCAGCACCGAATTACGCACAGCACATTGTCAGTCAAGCTGGCCCCCGTGGCCGAAAACGTCTTCATCATCTAGAGGCTCCTCGGGCCCCTGCAAACGAAGATCTTCTGCGACAGTCACCCATTCTACACGCCGTTGGATGGCATGGCGGTGCTCCTGGTCTAGGCGAGGCCAGAAAGATTCCCACGAGTGATTGGTTGCATACACTCGCGGGGTACCTGCCGGAATCATTCCATCCACATGTCGACAGCGGATGCTGCGATCATGCTCCAAATCCACAAGACCCTTGCAAAGGTCAACATCTAGCTCTGCAAAGCAAGCTTCGTCCCAGAGCAAGCCTTCACTGTTGAGGAAGATGAGACCTTTGATTTGATCTCGGCTGGAAATAAAATGGTAGTGGCCGCAAATGGAAGCAAGTGCAGCGGCGGCTAAGGAAGTTTTTCCGATCTCACCGCGACCGCTCAAAATCAAAGCTTTGGACTTGTGGGTCGTCGAGACCCATTCCTGCACTGCCGACGGCACACGGAAATGCATCAAAGAGTACTTCGGCGCACCCTTAAGTGTTCTGCCGGTCTCAGTGGGATGCCAAGCCTTGTTGATTTTACTCAACAGACTCACAATGCACCGCTGCTCACCAAGGTAATTCCAAAGGGTATCATCACCCTCCATTTTCTTCTTCTTGGCGACAGCCCATAGCTGAGGCTCTGATCGGACCTGCTCCTCAACTATGATGTCGGTGACTTCAGAGAATGTGAGCATTTTGCGCTTGCGCGTGGATTGGGTGGTTAGGCCGTTCTTGGCTTGTTGATCTTTTGGCATGGCCTTCATCATGCTGATGACCTTTTGCTTTGTAAGAGAACTTGGCCAAATCCAAGGGTCTTGATCGATGTCACTGACTAACTTCTTGTGCGACGCTTCGAAAAGGTACGTGCAGTACGCTGCAAAACCTTTCCTTGGCAACGTCCACACAGCCAAACACTGGGGGCCTATACACAAACGGAAAGTATTGCCAATCATGCCGAATGTCAAGTTGAAGCTGAAGAAGCCTTTGACACTTTTGCCCGCAAGCCAGTCTTGGACTTTTTTGTGCGCAAAGGGGGACGTCATGTGCACGATAACGTGCTTGTGTCTTGCACGCATTTCGCCGCCGGGCATAAACTTGCGGTGGGGCTCGTCGACAACGATAAGCGCCTTGAGGGCAGCATCCTGACCATGCAACCGGAAGTATTTCAGAAGCAACTCCCCCAGGTCTTTCTTGGAGATGTCTTCGGGAATGAGCCGGTGCTGGGACTTGCGGTCATCCAAAGTTGGCGGAAAACAACCTGCTTGCAAATAGGGAACAAGTATGGAAGACTTGCAAGCACACTTTGAAAAGGCAGTCAGCTTCTCTATTTAGAGCAGGCACGTGGACAGGACCAAGTGAACAGAGCTACACGTCCGCGGCGTTTCGGTGACGCAGGCTCCTCGCCCGACGAGCTGGAGCCACAAGCCTCTGCAAGCTCTGCCTCTTCAGCCTCAGCTTCGCTGGAACTGGAACTGTCAGAACTATCCGACATGGCAGACAAGCAGTGCTTGAAGCCAAAATTCTTGCGGGCAAATAGTGTCAAAGGCTTCATGCTGACTCGTGGTCATGAGTTGGCAAGACTTCTTCGAAGCGTCAACACAAGAAGCTTGTCGGAGACATAATTGACCTCCGGCGGGGTTTAGGGGCCAAACGAGCTGGCTCCACGGCTCTGGGGCTCTCGACATTTCGCAGAAGGGTCAAAAATACTGCCCAAATGGTATGTTTACCGTGAATGCGGCCTCTCCAAACAACAGAACCAGCAGGAAACTGAAAATAATGCTACTTCTCATGGTAAATGCGCACGGCGCCACAGCGGGAGACACAGAACAGAATGGTTTTAAGGGTTTTACAGTAGCGCGGCGCGCATTC